CACGTATATATTCATGGCCACTTATATTATTGTCAAAAAGATGAAAACATTATTGAGAACTTAGCCATTCAATTACAACTCATGAGTAATATATTAGGGCTAGGAGAAGGGCACAACAATACTATGAGTAGAAAGGCTTACTGTTCTAATTGAGCAGCAAATTGAGCCACTTTCTGCTTGCACTGGTTTGCAGATGTTGTAACTTCCTCATTTTGGAAAAGGTCAGCAGCTTTTTCAAAGTAACCAATAGCAAGTTCAATGTTCTGATCCGACTCATATAGTTCAGCAATTTCCTACATCACTAAAGATAATTACAACTCGAACAATCTATTACAGTTAATGAAGAAAAAGAAGCAAAAGAAAACAAATCTATACAAAGAAAGCCAAAGGCGTTGTTGAGTAATAATTTTACCAAACAATCCTGCCAAACTAAATAAGCATGTACCTTCAAATATCTTGCAGCCATACTGAGCCTTCCAATGTCACAAAATAGATTTACTGCTTGCTCCATGCATGAAATGGCCTCTACAGTACGGGGAAAAAAAAAAGCTTCAATGGATTTCTAAATATAATTTGATAAAGAGAAGTTCAATATAACAACATGCTGATGAATTATAACAGATGATTCAAACAAGTTAAGCTGAAACAGTAATATATCCGGATTTACATTATTGCAGATAGAAAATATGAGAAAAATATGAGAACATGAAGGCTCTTTCCTGAATCCTACTGAGTTGGCAACTTAGACTAACAGAGAGAATTAATATCAGTAAGAAAAATACAAATTTTAGAAGACAATGAATCATTTGTGAACAAGAATATTCTGTCAGAGAAAGGAAACTAAAAGGAAATCCACTAATAAACCATTTAAAGAGCAGTATTGGACTTACCCTTTATAGATGTTTTCTTATAGGCATTGGCAGCATCAACATAAGCTTGAGCAGCTTCGTGCTTACTTTCCACCTACAGAAAATTATTTTTGAAAAAGATGCCAGAGGAGGTTAGGACATGAGGTGTGGGTACTATCACGTACTTGAAGTACTTACTTTCAGATGGCAACCTGCCAACTTTGTGTATGTTGACCCAGCTTTATCCCCTAAAACACATCATGGGTATAGATTAAAACCATATACCAGGTTTCATAGTGAGAAGAGGTATGGTAACTATGAATGACAAAAAAATCATTGGACTAAATAAATACGACCATGACTATCTTGAGATTCTTTCGAATGCATAGGGCAAAGAGACTGATGTCACTAAAATAGAATTAGAAGGAATTGTACTGAGGAAAATTCAAATATATATTAAAATGAGTAATGTTTATCAACTAGTTCAAAACCCGAACGAGAAAAAAAAAAAAGATCTTTGATGGTTCAGCAGGCTTCTATGTAGGAAAAATAAGAAACTCATTTCTTGTTTTGATAATCTCGTACGAAAGCAAAATGGTGAAGATAACTTAATCTGACTTGATTAATGAGGCCTCAAGGAGTAAGAATATGTATGCCTCTACTGGGTCAACAGGAAAATGATAAAGATTAAGAAAAATCCAAAAACAGTCTCAGCATCCATATGGAGCTTTAAACCATCTTATTAAGAACAATTTCCTTCACATTTTTTGCCCATGTGGCCAATATATCTTCCAACCAAACCATTTAATTATAACTACGTCCTTCACGTTCGATATATAGTTTCAGTTGTTGTGTCTGATTCCCAAACAGATCATCCAAAATTGGAATTTGATAGCTAACGCATCCAGACCTTTTTATTCAGTATTTAGTTATCATTTGTAGACAACCGTTCACATTTTCTATCTGGATGGGCAGTTGCATCTATATACCGACCAAAAACCAAATGCATATAATGTCACAAAAATATCTTAATCATCCATTAGATCGTAAGTCTTAACGCTCTTAGTTCAAACAACAGTACATACCATGCTATCAAGATCATCAAAGCAGATTCTAAATTCAGCAAAAATAATTGCGTAGGTCAAATTCCAATCAAAATAACCAGCAGATAGTTCTCTGTTCAAACGACAATAAATTCCTTTTAACTCGAGCAACAGACAATGAAGTTCTGACCAAGTTAATGCATTGAGGCATGAAAAATTGAATCAATCGCATTGTACAAAGATCTAAGGGACCAAAAAAGCAAGTACTAGCAGAGAACGATTGGGTGAATTACATGATTTAGCAAGCTTGTAAGAATTAGCAGACTTATCGAAGAGATCAGCGGCATCTTCATACTTGGAACCGAACAATCCCCAGCCATTAAGCTTCTTCACCGCTTTCTTCTCGAATTCCTCTCCCTTAGCAAGTTGATCGGCCATCTTTGAACAGCATCCAAGAGTTTGCTTTGAGCTTGAGAAATTTCACAGAGAATGTGAACAGGAAGATAAATAATGGCGAAACTAGTACGGTCAACCGTTGGGTAAAGATTTTTCTTCGAGAGTAAGCTTTGTTTCGTCGACCTGGCTCGGCTTTGGCAGCGCCGTGCTGATTAAAATGCCGAAACTAGCGCGCACCTAGGTTTACGATTAGTCGGCCTATCCGATTCTTTTCCAATAGCTTAAAACCGACATGTCGGTTAATAAGTGGTGGAATGACCTCGTAATGAAATGGCGTCGTTTTAAAGATCGATTTTCCTGTACACCATTAATCTTTATTAATTTTTATAGTTTATCTCTAATGTTCTAAGTATTCTTTGAAAATAATATTTTTTATAAATATAACAACTAAATTGTTTTTATTACTTACCGATATTGCTAAATTAAAAAACAAAATGCATTTGACCTTAGCGACAACAGCCAAATGGATGAGGGTATCTCCTAGTGATGAGGTTGAAACGAGGAAGAAGTGAAGAGCCACAAATTCCAAGGCGGAACAGGAAGCAATGGCGGCAACGGCCCTACTTGAGAGCTAAGGCTCCACGATAAACTATTATGAGTTTATCCAACTTTGCCGTTGCTCAACTTCTCTTTCCTTCTCGAACGCGCCAATGTCCAGGCTAATCTCTCATTCCCCAAGCAATATCTTTTTCTTCTTCTTCCAGAATTCGGATTTATTTTCATAATGGCTACAAATTTTTGACAGATAAGGAATTTAGCGTTAACACCAAGGCCTCCTGCGTGATTGTGTGGACGTAAGATTTCTGAAACAAGCCAAGACTGTTCATGTGTTTTTGTTAAAATCGAAATTTTAAAACCACGATTCTCTGGTTTTGCTTAATCATGTTGCTCACGCTCACTCGAAATGCTCCGATATTGGTGCTGCATGTCACCTGTTTGATCAAATGTCCCAGAGAGACATCTTTTCTTGGATTGGCTGATAATGATTTTTTCCTCGATTGGTTTTGAGTAATTCTGTGAAATGCAGAGTCAGGGAGTTTTTCCAGATCAGTTTGCATATTCTTGTATCTTGGTTTGGAGACCATTGTATTGGGCAAAATGGTTCATGCCCAGATTGTTATTAGAGGCTTTGCATTTATTTCTTTTGTGTATACTGCTCTTCTTAATATGTATGCAAGGTTACGAGAGATTCAGGATTCATTCAAGGTGTTTAACACCATGACTGAAGCTAATGTAGTCTCGTGGAATGCCATGATCTCAGGTTTCTCATTAAATGGTCTTTACTCAGAGGCTTGTGATCATTTTCTCAGAATGAAGGGAGAATACACCCGATGCACAATCGTTTATTGGCATTGCAAAAGCTATGGGGTATGTTAGGAGATGTGAGCAAGGCAAAAGAAGTTAGCCATTTTGCTTCAGACTTAGGTGTGGACTCTAGTACTCTTGTGGGAACTGCTCTCGTTGATATGCATTCTAAATGTGGATCTTTGCAAGAGGCAAGATCCATCTTTGACCCTCATTGTACAAATTGTTTGCCAAAATGTGTTTACAGACAGTGCGTGTAACGAAAAAACCTTGGAATTGTTTACCAACATGTTTCAAAACGACATACACATGGACCATTACACTTATTGTAGTGTATTTAATGCCATGGCTGTCGGGAAAGAAGGTTCATGGCCAAGGCTATAAAATCAGGATTGGAAGTGAATCATATAAGTATCTCAAATGCAGTAGCTAATGTGGATAGCTGGATGATGTAAGGAAGGTTTTTTTCAGGATGGAAGAAAGAGATATAGTACCTTGGACCACACTGGTGACTGCTTATTCTCAATGTTCTGAATGGGACAAAGCAATAGAAATCTTCTCAAATATGAGAAAAGAAGGCTTTACACTCAATCAATTCTCATTTTCTAGCATGCTCGTTTCATGTGCCAGCCTTTGCTTACTCGAGTATGTCCACAAGTCCATGGTATAACCTGCAAGGTTGGCTTGGATATGGACAAAATGCATAGAAAGTGCTCTGATTGACATGTATGCCAAATGCGGCAGTCTGGCTGAGCGAAGAAGGTTTTCGATAGAATCTCTAATGCCGATACAGTTTCGTGGACTGCTATAATATCAGGTCATGCTTAACACGATATTGTGGAGGGCACGCTTTGATTCTTTAGAAGGATGGAGCAGTTAGGTATGGAGCTCAATGCTGTTACTTTTTTATGTGTTCTATTTGGATGTAGCCATGGAGGTCTGGTAGAGGAAGGCCTACAGTACTTCACGCTAATGAAGGAAACTTATGGTGGTACCAGAGACGGAGCATTATTCCTGTATTGTTGATCTCTTAAGTCGTGTGGGACATCTAAACTATGCAATGGAGTTTGTAAGCACGATGCCCATAGAGCCCAATGAAATGGTTTGGCAGACCTTGTTGGGAACATGTAGGGTTCATGGTAATGTTGAATTGGGAGAGCTTGCTTCTCTGGAGATGCTTTATTTTAGGGCAAAAAACTCAGCTACCTATGTTCTTTCATCCCACCGCTAGTAGAAATTGTTCTTTTTGGGTTTTTCTTCGAGGTTTTTAAAAGGTGTCTGCTAGAGAGAGGTTTCCACACCCTTATAAAGAATGTTTCGTTCTCTGATGTGAGATCTCACAATCTACCGCCTTTGGGGCCCAGCGTCCTCGCTGGCACTCGTTCCCTTCTCCAATTGATGTGGGACCCTCCAATTCACCCCCCTTCGAGGCCCAGCATCCTTGTTGGCATAGCGCCTCGTGTCCATCCCTCTTCAGGGCTTAGCCTCCTCATTGGCACATTACCCGGTGTCTGACTCTGATACCATTGCTTGCAAATATTGTCCTTTTTGGGTTTTCCTCAAGGTTTTTAAAACGCATCTGTTAGAGAGAGGTTTCTACACTCTTATAAAGAATGTTTCGTTCTCCTCTCCAACCGATGTGGGATCTCACCCTTCGTTTGTGATATATGATGAAAGAGCAGGGCGTATAACAGGAACCAGGATGTGGTTGGATCTCTGTGAATGGTACATTGCATAAGTTTTATGCAGGTGGCCAACAAAAGATAAATTTATGCTAAGCTAGAAGAGTTTAGATTGAAGGCAAATTCTTTGGAGGATGTACTAGATTTGAGTTATGGCTGTAAGTTTTAGACCTCGGATAAGTTATACGGATACAGATGGAATCGCCCGTCCATTCAACCAAATTCATTGGGAAAAAAAAAAAAGCATCAGCCAAAGAGATCAAATTAAACAGTGAAGGCAAATGGGTGCTTAAGAACTAAATTGGCTGGCTAAATGATATAGGACTTACAGATATGATTCTCTGCATCATTCAACTCCTGCAGGTTCTGAAATATGTATGATGCTGTACTTCATTAGATAAGGAAGAATAACGATTCGGGTTATGGAAATGATAAAAAGCGCCACGGATCAATGCTCGGTTCTATGAAAATCTTTTACTTTTTGACAATATGATTGCTATGTTGGGTGAAGGTTATCAGAAGTTTGACCTCTTTCATAATAATGCATCGTTATGATGTGCTAATTTGGAATCATAAAGCCTTTCTGCTTATGATTTTACTGGGGTCTACTGAACTTTGTCATACTCGAAGCAGTAAAATTTATCGTTACGTTACACGAATAAGTTTGGTAAGATATTTCTCAAAATCATCAGCAGTGGAAATGAAGGCATTTCTCTTTTCTCTCTCCCTCTGATTTACTTTTGTTTTAACTCTCTAAATTTGTCTTTTATTTTCCCTTGGAAACATGGCCTAGTTGTTTTATTTCCTGAATTCTATTTATCATGCCAAGAAACTATTTACTGTTTCTCCCGTGAATTAGCTGAAATGAGTAATACTGTTTTAACTTATTGTTATTATTGTTATATTTTCCTTTTTTCCATAAGAGGAATTTGATTGTTCTTGAATTATTGGTTTCAGCTGCAGTGAAGTGATAACTGAAATAAAACATTTTGGCACGATCTCTCATAACTCGTTACTATGCTTCTTCTTCCCCTCCAATAACCTCACTAGGCTTTGGAGGTGTCATAAGACTGGTCTATGTCACCCAGACCCCCCAGGCATATCAGTAAAACAAAACTACTGTTCAAAAACAGTATCTGTCTTAGATAATGCATTTAGTGAGTCAATCCTTGTCTTTAGAAACATGACAGTTGAAACTTAAACGATTCTATGTGAGATCCCACATCGGTTGGGGAGGACAACGAAACATTCTTGGTAAGGGTGTGCAAACTTCTTCCTAGGAGACACGTTTTAAAAACTTTGAGGGAAAGTCCAAAAAGGACAATGTTGCTAGCAATAGGCTTTGACTAGTACATTCTACCTGGCTTATATTTACTATTGACATATCATCTATGGTTCCATGATTCTGGGTCAACGTTCCAGATTTTATTGACCTGAAACTCTTGTTGTCTACCAGAGCTGACTTTGGAGCAAATGGAGCAGAGTTTTTCTGAAGATTAATGCAAGAGGTGGAGTTTTGGATGCCTCGAGGTCGGAATCGAAGAGAGGAAGAGGAAATAGGGCTCCTTGTTTATGGGGTTGAAGAAGAAAAAAGTGGGTAAAGTGAGTTGCATGGGGGAGGGGGAAAATTGTGTGCCATTCAGGGACTATCCAAAAACCAATAACGAGACACAACAGTTGAAAGGCTGTTTTATGAAATGTCTTGTGGGTATGGCCCTCGCAGTGTTTGCTTGCTTGCTTGTAGTGCCATTATCTGTGGTCCTTTTGCTGGATTTATATGCCTACTTCCTTAACATGTGAAGAAGATGGGACAACCGACTTCCAGTGCGCGCACATATATATATATACATATACATACATATATGTATCCATCTCCAAGCCTAGAAACCGCCCCCGTGACCTGAAATGTTCAAATCTTTCTGTCAACATCAGTGGGGCATCAACAATATGGTACGTCTCTAAACTCAATGCTATACATTTTTCATTTTGTTGCTGCTTATACAGATTTATTCACGTTAATTTTATGCTTCATTAAATATATAACTGAGGAAAAGAAAGAAGATGCTGGGTTTGAATAAACAAAAACAAAACTTATATAGCTGTCTGTCATAAGCTTATATATACATATCCTGTCCCAGCATTACAAGCTGACGATAACAGACTAGCTGGCTACAATTCTAAGACTGACGACCACTCTTTGAGAGCGACCCTTTTCAAATCTCTCCTTTCTGCTTCAAACCCACTTTTTCTTTTTTTCCATTTTCCATTTTCCTACATATTTATTCACATTCTCTCCTGATATTTATTGATGCATCTGGGTTTATATCATATGGTCATAAAGTGTATATATATATGATGTTATTGAACATACTGGCCCAACCAAAGCTTATATTATCCTTGTATACATTCTTACCTACCAAAAATACTCCTTCGGCCACAAGTGAACAAGAGAGCCACTTATCAGAAAACTTTTTACTTTTATTAAGTTTTGTTTCCATTGTGCATTTGCATGTGAATGTACTTTCACCGAGTGCAACTCACGTGACCTTTTGTAGCAAGTCACAAGAATCCTATACCTTTCCTCCACAAAACGGATAATATTATGTTTATATACAGAAATTAGAAAATAGATTCGAAACTATTAGGTGAAACGAGTACATATTGATTTTACATTCTAACCTTCTAGATTAGTTAATAATAGACTCTTTAAATCTATTTCTTAAGTTAGATGAAGAATATGTCACGGGAAATGTTTCCGATTTAAGTACCTATAGTTTTAGGGTATGGTTGGGTTTTGAAATGCAAAGTTTATATATAATGAAGCTAATTAATAGACATAATTGAGCAATTCAATTATCCTAGTGGTTTTGGAGCTAAATGACAATTTCTTAAGTTTAATTTATTGAATATTAGGCATCATATGATATATAATAAAAAGGGAGTAAGATATATGTGGATAACATTGAAAGAAAGGAAGAGTAAGGTGAGAGACAAAATATGTAATAATCGGTAAGGGAGGTTTGGAAGTATGTGTGTGTTGGACATGGGTGTGTGCATTATTGTGTAGAGGGAATTATGGGAGGGAGGGTTTGTTTGGTTTGGTTGGTTTTAGAACACTGTAGGAGAAGCTAAGAAAGGAAGCCATGTGAAGGATCAAATCAAATAATTTTTTTTTTTTTTTAAATTTGGCATCACTTTTATTATTATTAAACTAATATTAATTTTAGATTTTGATAACTTAAAAATAAATTTGGGGGAATTAAATTTTAAAAAAAATGAAGGAAAATAAAGGAAAGGGAAGGGACAAGTGTAGGAGCAGGGTTCGTGTGTAGTGTGTATTGTATTGTTGTAATGATTAAAGGGCACACATGTGAATAGGGAGTGGGTACCTTATTTGTCTCTCACCAATCCAAACAATTCTCCCAACCAATATTCATCAATATTTCTATAAGTTTTTATATAATGCAATCTTTTCATTCGCTTCTCGTGATGTTACATTTCATTTTTATACACTATGTTTTTGTATACATATATACACCTCTAATTAGAAGTATATGCATGTATTAATGTATGCGATGAAAATATATATGACAATAAAATACCTATAACAGTCTAAGTTTACCACTAATAGAAATTGTTCGTTTTGGTCTGTTATGTATTATCATTTTACAATGTGTCTATTGGGGAGAGGTTTCCACACTTTTTTAAGAAATGTTTAGTTCCCCTCTCCAACCGATGTGAGATCTTACAATCCACTTCTCTTTGGGGGCCAGCATCCTCACTGGCACACCGCCTGATGATTGCCTCTGATACTATTTGTAACAACTCAAGCCCACTACTAGTAGATATTGTCCGTTTTATTCCATTACGTATCGTCGTCATCCTCACGATTTTAAACACATCTATTATAGACAGGATTTAGTCCTACTTCGACTAGTGCCTTGGATTGTGAGATCCCACATTGGTTGGGGAGGGGAATGAACATTTTCTTATAAGAGTGTGTAAACTTCTTCTCAGTAGATGTATTATAAAACCGTGAGACAATATGTAAAAGGTCAAAGCGAATATTTGCTAGTGGTGGGTTTGGGCTGTTACAAATAGTATCAGAACAAGTCACTAGATGTTGCGAATCATTGGTCAAAGTAGGGCTAGACTCTCTTTATAGTAGACGCGTTTTAAAACAATAAGACTGATAACAATACATAACAAGTTAAAATAGACAATATCTACTAGCGGTGTAATTGAGCCGTTACAAAATGTGGTTCAATTAGTGCCTTAATTTATACATAAGAGGGAGGGGGTTAATTGCAATTTCCAAGAAGATGGAAATAATGTTATGTTCACAAGTGATTGCATAAGAAGTTGGTATGGGTAAGTATGTGTAGGAAGGGAATGCAGAGGGGCACGTGCGGTGGAGAGAGAGAAAAAAAGGAAGGGGAAGGGTGAGGGGGGAAAAAGATGTCCCCCGTGAGGAGTGTTTGGAGGCATTCAAAACTCACAACTTAACATGCTTTGGTTGCTTCCTTGGCCTTCACTTCTTTCGATGCCCATTTTTCACTCCCATCCGCAACCTTCACGAGCCCCTTTCTTTATTTTCCATTTCTGCCCCCATAATCTTCTCTCTCTTCCCAAATACATTAGGGTTGATTAGTGTTTTAACAAAGACTAAGCTGGGATTAGTTTTGAATGTACAAACTGTAAAGCTAGTACACTTGTTATTATTAAAGATGGTGTTTAAGTTTAAAATGAAAATGGCGTAGAGAAGGGTAGTTTAGTAAGTGGAACAGTTGGCAGAATGGTATTTTATTATTTGGTTGTAAAGGAGAAGGCGATGCAGTCATGTGGGAAGCTAGCATACAGAAGATCATATAGATTTAAGGGCTCTTCATGCCCTTATAAGACACACCCTCGAGAGCTTTTCCCTGAGGGAAAAAAACCCCAAAAAATAGCAAAAAGAAGAAGAAAAAGAAGCCTGAAAAAGATATAAAGAGAGAGACAGAAACAAAAGGGTTGAATCCATGGTGTCTAGAGAGCACAAGAAGGCCGCTTTGCATGAAAAGCTTCAATTACTTCGTTCTATTACCAACTCTCATGCTGTAATATCTCCTTCTCCCATATCTCAATCTCTGTTCTTCTGTTCATCTCTTTTTCTTTTCATATGAATTCTGGGAATTCAAAGAAAGAATGGCTTTGTGTGTTCTGTGGCAGCTAAACAAGGGCTCGATTATAGTGGATGCATCAAAATACATCGAGGAGCTAAAGCAGAAAGTAGAAAGATTGAATCAAGATATAGCAACAGTTCAAAATTCAATCCACCCAAATCATCCCATGGTATTAATACAATTTTCCAATCTGGGGTTTCTTGTTAATACAAAATAAAAAACTTACCCATAATTTTGTTGGTATGTGTTATAGCAGGTCACAGTGGAAGCCCTAGTAAAGGGATTTTCTATAAATGTATTCTCAGAAAAGAGCTGTCAAGGCCTCCTTGTCTCAATATTAGAAGCCTTCGAAGAGCTGGGGCTCAATGTTCTTGAAGCTAGGGTTTCCTGTACTGATACTTTCCAATTACAAGCTTTTGCAGAAGTAAGATTTTCCAAACCCTCATCTTTCTATATATATATATATATATATATATATATAACTCTTTCATGCATAATTGAGTTGTTTTTGTTTAATGGGGGTGTTGGTGTTTTTGTAGATTGAGGAACAAGGAGAGGAAGCCATGGATGCTCAAGCTGTGAAAGAAGCTGTAGTTGAAGCTATAAAGAGCTGGAGCCAAAACGGTGAACAAGATTAAAAAAAAAAACATCCTTAATTTCTCCAACTTTTTCCCAACCGCGGCGTTTTTTTTTTTTTTTTTTTTTTTTTTTTTTTTTTTATTTATTGTTCTCAACTTCTTTGNGTTTGTAATGTGTAAAAATTAATCAATGGAAAAACCGATTGATTAAGGTTCTGGAAAATAAAGTGAATGGCAACCGTTGCAGCAACAAGAAATATTATCGATATCAATCGGGTAAATTATTATTTATTTTTTTTTAATTTTCTTGTAATTTATTATCCTCATAAGTTTTACCACAAGAATAATGCGCATAGGTTTTCGAATATCATGAAATGTGTCACTTTTGGAGAGCGAAGTACGAAGAGGGTGAAGAAGAAAGTTTAAAGTACCTTAAAAAAAGGAACATTTTTTTGGTTCTGTGGGTTGTAAATGATGAGGAATTTTTCATCATTACAAAATTCATTTCATTTCAGCGAAGTACGTAGAACAAAGGTAAAAGAAAAAAAAAAAAAAAAAAAAA